TTTAGTTGAAAACATTTTTAATAATTAAAATTATATTGTATATTAAAATTTATTATGGATTTAAAGAAGTATTAACTTTATGTATAATACTTTGTAGGATGGAGAACTAAGAGAGGCTAAGTAGACTGTTATGACGCAGTATGTGTCCAATTAACTTAGCTCTTATTGTTTTTAAGGTATTCAGAAAGCTTCTTGTTTCTCCGGCTCTTCGATAAACTTCTTCATTTGTTATGTGTTCTGTCCAGCTTATTCTAAGTAGCCTTCTGTAACACCATGTCTCGAAAGCTAGGAGTCTTTTTTCTTCTATTTTACCTATGGTCCATGTCTCACTTCCATAAAATAATATAAATTATATAAATTGTAAGAATATGAACATATTCTATGTAAATAATATTCATATGAACATATGAATATTATGATTAAGTTTCAATTTACATGAGTGTTTTATTTTTTAAAAACATGTATCGTTTTGTTGTTTTACAAATACCATTATCTTTTGCGTCATACTTTAATACAACTGTTTCTACATAGTCCGTATAACACTTGGTTTAAAACGTATATTGTACGTGATCATTTTTTTTTGCTTGTCTAAAATTTTAATATGAGATAAAAAAAAAAATTCTTGGTAAACGATGTACATATTGTTTGAGGTTTTCGAATAAGTACATTATTTGAATAAAATTTCCTACAGGGTGTTTTTTTATCGTGGGCTCCTCAATATCTCACTTGGTTTAATTAATAATTTATCGGTTATTTTTACTTTAGTTATAAGTCTTAATACAAGATAGAAAAATAATATTTTTGTATTGTAAAATTATCTGTACTGTAATGATAATATTTGTCCTCGAACCTATCGAATATTCCATTAACAAAAATGTTTATATTGGAACGTATTGAATATTTTTTTTATATTTCATTCTATTATGTTGAATACATTTGGCATGCCTATTTCCTACATAGTAGTTTAAATTTCAGTGCAAAGCAGATATTTTTTTTTGTCTGTATTCAACTTTAAAGCCACTGATTTATTTACTTGGTCACTAATAATTGTGTCTAGTTTGCGTATTGGGGGAGATGTAAAATTTGGAAAAGTAAATAGAGACCAACCTTCCAATTAATAAGGACCGCAATTTTTTCATATTTCAAATTTATGTGCTATAAATTCATGAAAAATGTTCGAGTGATCGAGTGGACATTTTAAACAAAAATATATGACTGAAGTCATACTGAAAAGTTTTTCAGCCGAGTCTGCAACCACGAAAGAACATTTTCATGCCTCGTTGAAGTACCGAATAAATTAAGAGTAGTGGTGGAATTAACAAGCAGGAACAAGCTAGTATATTAAAACATCAAGTTTCTGGCTAATATTGTAGTGTTTAATATCTGGCTTAAAACAATTCATAGAGAATTTGGGCCCTTAAACTATTTTGAATTTATCATTTAGTTCTAATTTGAACGTTGAACGTACAACATATCTCTTAAGCCCTATATCTTACCCTAATCTCCCACCCCCTATCTCTCACCCCTATATTTCACCCTTATCTCCTACCCCTATCTTCCACCCCGACCCCATCTTCATACTCATTGACTAAAAACATTGAACTACATGTTCAATGTTTTTAGTCATTATATTAGAATATAAAAGGTCCACCGCAAAATTCATTGTTTGGACAATTTAGTTGGCGCTTAGCTGCTAAAGTATAGTTTCAGCAGCCAAATGATAACAAACAAGTGATGCTCGTAAACATAACTTACAATGATTTGAAAAAAATATTTCAGACATGTTACAGAATATTGATTTCCTATTAAACCTAATGCAGATTCAATTCAAAAGGCTTTATTTATCAAATCTGATACCTAATTGCCAAAGTGTTAACAGTTTAAATGAATTTTAAAAATCGTCGAGGATGATAATTTTGAAATAAGCTAAAAGTATTTGAGTCTGTTATTTATAAGCTTTTATAAGTATTTTGCAAATACAACGTGTATTTTACAAATACAAGGTATTTATTGTATTAGTTCTTTAATACGATGTTAATTTGTCCCACTAAATCATGCATTTTAGAATGTCAGTCAACAATGACATTTTGCAGGGTATATATAATGTAATAATCGATAAAAAAGCAAAATTAAACAATCATATTGTTGACTAAAAATAAATGGTCAAGTAAGAAATAAGTAGGTAGTTCTTTTCATTTTATATACCTATTAGGTACAGTATTAATACAATGACTTAAATATTAAATTAATAATTAATTGAAATATGTAAGGAGCGTAAGGGGGGATCGAAGAGGACGGCGCGGCGTATGCATAATATGTAAAAAATAGTATCCCCCCAACTTTTTCAATGGATTTTCGCATATTTTCTGTCATGGTGTTATATTTATGTTTTTACCTTATTGTGGTTTTGTTTAAACTTCGCAGTATGATTGTTTAATCTTGCCGTATAATGAGATAATATAAATGAGTTGATAATATAAATAATAAATATTAAATAATTTGCAGTAATCTGTTGTCCAATAGCCCAAAATAAATCATTTATTTTGAACGTTTTTAAATGTACATAATATCTCGCAGAATATTTCTAATTTCATTTACGTTTGATTTAGTTTAAAATACGGATTTATGTATACATATTTTTTTTAGGGAAAATATCGTGTTTTATGGCTCGTTAGAATTCCGATGCTGAGTTAAAGAAATATAATTTATTTTATATTCAGTTATGTTAATTGAACTATTCAGTATTTGTGTCCACAGCATTGTGTCCCTTTTTAATACTTATTCAAAAATATTATACAACAAAAAAAAAAATAAAGCTATAAAACGAGACTAATTGGTATGCTATCTGGATAGAAAAATAAAAATAACATAGTATACTTAACCCAGGCTCAATATAAACCAGTCTGGTAAAAAATTAAAAAATTAAAGACAAGGCGTAGTTAGAAAGTCGGAAAGTGATTTAATCACTATCAAATGTTTTGATGGTTTTTTTAATGAAGCGCAAAAATAGTAAGTGGTTAGGTTTCCACTAAATCACATCGAAGGATTTTCTTGAAAGTGGTGTTATTTCCCATTGTTTTAAACATTCTTTTTAAAAAAGAATCTGTTTTTTTTGTTTCTAAAAAAATGTGAAAACTCAAATAGTGAAACAATTTTATATTATACTACATACATTATTAAAAATTGTAATAGATTTTAATTGAAATTATTTTTAGTGTTATGATTAATTGGCTAGTTGCTTGTACACATCTAGGTTTATGATAAAGTTCTAAATTTTTATGACACACTATAATATATAGTTTTGGTTGTGTAATGTCACCATTACAGTAATTATATTGAGGTCGACTCATCACTATTCATCAACATTTGCCTGTCAAATCCACATGCCTCTTCATAATTTGTCTACATTATTCTACTCTAAACAAATATTTAACTGATCTTTAATATATACCTACATGCGCAAACTAAACAAATCCTACTAGTACACAATCGTGCAATTATAAACTGTAGCTTCTGATGAGTACTGATGGATGTAACAAGAAAGTAAATATGTATAAGCAGCTACAATCAATTATTGTTTACTGTGTGTTGCGTTTCAGGTCACTGCATAACTTTCAAATATCACCTGTATAAACAAAGTGAATAACAAAATATTATTATTCATAAAAAGCTTTCAAAATGTCATGGAACAATTATTTTTTTCGTGAAATAATTGTTTTGATGAAAACAACTTTTGAGTCAAATCTATACTAAAATATTATCAAAAACATTTTTTTAATTTTTATACAATATATAGTATTTTAAGAGAATGTCGTACCCCCTGTCTATTAAGGAGTAAAGTATAGGACATTTTTTGCATAATCTTAGATTAAAGGTTAAACTGTGATGTGTAATTATTAATTCGTAATATTAGAACTCCGTATTATTAGGACTCTAATTTGGTAGTTGATTTATTTATAAAGCACCTATTATAAAATTAAAAAAGTACAGTATTCCGGAAGGCAGCTCGATGCCTTTTTCCCATTATTTTAAAACGCTATGATGTAGTCCGAGGTGTCTAGCACACCTTGAATAAATATCTCACTCGGTAGACCAAAAAGAAAACCTTGAGAGAGATGAGAGTTAATATTTTGTTAAACATATTAAAAAAAAGTTGTTCACAAGTGAATGATAGATATTGATTTTATCAATTAATAACAATAAAAAAAAACTATTTGCTCTTTTAAGATTCTTATTAGGCCAGTTCGGCTGGTCTCATTAAATTCTATTAAAAATATCACCAGTCATCTGATCTTTCAATCTCACCCTTAATTCTTTGCTGTAAATGAGAAGTTTCCCATTTAAAATACGCACGCTATTTAGACTATGTGGGTAAACATTACGTTTAAAGGAACTGACTAAGTTTATTTGCGTATGAATATAAAATGTATAAAAAGACAATAATTGTTTTTGGGATTTTATAGGTAAAGAAAAATAATTGTCGCCATAATTATTAAAAAGAATAATTATTAATTCATGTAAAATTCTGTTATTTATGAAAAATTATAATTTTATTTATAACATTTATTAGTAGAAATATTGTTTCATATTATTGATTAAATTTTTTGACTCGTTTATTGAACCATAGATCTCAGATATTGAATCAATACAGTGTTCCTATGCATCTGCAGTTTAATACTTTGTTGAATCTATAAAAAAACAATAAAATAAAAACAAGTCATGCGACGAAATTAAATATAGCGTTAAAAATGATTTCGATATATTCAATTTAGACAATGATATTAATGAAAAAATTATTTCAAATTGTTAGTGCAATAAATTTAAAAGTGTTGGTAAATATAAAAAAAAAATTCAAATATATACTATTAGCAGGGAACAATAAATTATTTTTAAAAACAATTATTAGATGTTAGCAATTAATTTTTACTTTTTATCAATACGCTGTAACTATTTAATTGGTAGTTTTTCAAATAATTACTTATAATAAATTTTGAAGTGAAATTAGCTTAAAAATACTATTTCAGTTATAAAAAAATAATAATAATAATAACGTGATTGTAATTTTGAAAATTATGTTTCTTTTTATTGTAAAATTATTAACACTGTTGCAGTTACTGAAAAATGCGGTATCGGCAACTGATAACCCGGTTATAGATTGTGCATTATATCCACCAAAATCAACTACTGTAAATTTTTTTTTAAATACAAAGTAAGCTATATCATTTTATATACAACACCTTATATAGTTTGTATAGCTTAGTTAGACTTATCTCTTATGTATGTATTAACGCAAGAATGTTGTCTTTGTGTGAACAAATGAAGTCTTGTGTTAAATTTTTTGATATATTGTAATATACCCAGCTAAATAAGTTATAACTAGAAAACTGAGAAAAAACATAAAATGGCTGACTATATCCAAACTGTTTCGACATTTTGATTGAGCGTTGTTTTTGTAGCGTGACTTTAATGATTTATGTTACAATGCAAAATATTGATTTAATATTATAGAAATTGTTTAATATCATTAAAATGTTCGTGAGCTTGGGGGTAATCGTTTAACAGATCTTAACAAACAATTTTGATTGTACCACTTTAAAAATTATTTTGTCATTCTTTAAGAAGTAATCAGCTTTTTTTTAGCTAACTTGTTTTTCGCAAACTTCAAGCGATCGCCATATAATTTTCCGAGAAGTCACCAACAACATCCGTATATATTCGTAAGACATTTGTAGAACTTGGAATACTATTACAATTTTTAGAACAGTTAGATATGAATTGAGCACACACAGAGTTTTTTGGACTGTAGTTATTTTACATGATAGACACGACATACGCTCAATAACTCCCTAAAAAAATGATTGAAATAAACATTGTACATAATATGCTAATGAGCTCTTTCAACTTTCTGAAGGTAAATATAAAATGTAATAATTTATAATTATAAGTTTTTAAAAATAATGTATTATAAACATTATTCAATTTTTAATTTTGTTTGTCCTCTACACATTAACCAATAAAAAAAGTGGTTTGGTTGATAACCAATTATACTTCAGTATAAAATAGAATTGATTTGACTACACAAATTAAATTAAAGGGAGTATATCGAGGTTGGGTTGGACAGATTTATTTTTATAACTTTAATAAACAACGTGTATGTACAATTTCAGAAGTGTTGAAAACTTTTCCGTTACTGCAGATGAAAAATCACTTAAGGGCGCTCCGTTTATCCCAGGTTCTGATACCGTCATACTAATTGTTCATGGATTCGGTGTAAGCAGTAAAACTAAAAATATAGCTGCACTACAAAAAGGTTTAATATTATTTTTAACTAGCTATAATTTTACGTTCCGATTATTTTAATATACCAAATATAGGACTTTAGAAAACCATTAGAAGTATTTATGTTATGGCTTTGAGCGTTATATTAATTATAAATACAGCAAGTTAAACATTTAGCTCTTATATATAGCTAAAAAGAGGCATTATTTTTACAACTGTGTCATAATAAGAATGCTAAAATACTATTTACTTTATGTCATACATAAAAAATGTATATTGTTGGAACAAAAGTCGAACATTTTCAGCCATTTCCGATATGTAAATCGAGAAGGATCAAAAAATTAAAATAATATTTTTTAATATTAAAATGAGATATGGTATACATACCATCCAAAAAATAGTCAAAATAGTATAAAAATGTTTAGGGGTTTTTTATTAGGTAGTACTCACAAAACAAAAGTCAGAAAATAAGAATTACCGAAAACACATATTTTAAGTAACCTGAATATGTCTTATGGGTGCAAGCAGTATTTACTTTAATACATTGTATAAAGCTCCCATTTTGTTTTGTGTTTTTTCTTTATTTTACTATTTTAGGTTATTAATGACTAGTTCAATACTATTCTTTTCAGCATATATTAACGGACCGCAAAATCACAATGTTTTAATGGTAGACTACTCAGACGTCATTGGTGATGTTTCCCATTTAAACACTGAAGAGTACGCCTTGAGGTATGGTGTAGCAGTGGAATGCGATTTTCCAATAATGGTGAATGCTACTACTAATATTATAGAGATGATACAGAACTGGCGACCTGAAATCTCCAAGATACACATGGTCGGACATAGTTTAGGGGGTGAGATAATTGGACAATCAGGAAGTCATCTTAAAGATAAGGGGAAACCAGTACACAGATTATCCGGTTGGAATTTTAAATAAGATTCAATTAATTTCATTTATCATTTATTTAGCATGTCATTACTATTTATGTTTGTTTTTTTTACGCTTAGCATTGGACCCGGCCGGTCCGTTATTCTCTTCTACCCATATAACAGCAAAAAGTGGCTTATTTGTGGATGTGTATCACACGCAGATCGCAGATCAAAGAGGCATCACGATAGCAGTGGGAAATGTTGATATTTATATTAACAACGCCATTGTCCAAGACGGTTGCCTCAATGAAAAGACACGTAAACAATCAAATAAGACATTTTGTGTGTTAGTGGGTGTTAAAACTAAGAAAATTATGAAATAACTTATTATATTTTACATACTTAATACTATGTTACTGGTAGAAAACCTGTCTATCCAGCGACACGATATTGGCACCGAGCTAAGTAAAAAAAATAGCGTATGGTCCACCGCCGTGTTTACTATACACGAAGCATCGCAATCTGCGAGTGAACGGCTGAATAGAATTGATAGTATGAGATATCAGTAGATTGGCAAAGTTGTGTAGATGGGTTATTTCAAATAAAAATATAGATTGGTTGAATACTTTCTTAGTTAAAAAATGGGTACTCGGTAAATTGAATATGTTCCAAATATAAAAAGTTAGTTTTTTTTGCGTTGCCCAAAATTTGAGAATTTTTCTAGTTTTTTTTTCAGAAAGCTGAGAAAATTTTACATGTGTGTAATTTTCAAATTAGGTTCTCCATAAAAACGCTTAGAAAAACAAAAAAAAAGGTAAAAGTTTAAGTAAAGCCGAAAGACGAAACATCATTTTATTTCTACACATATTTATTTCAACCTTTATGATTACTGTTTTCTAAGAAATTTTATGGTGAACGCATTTTTAAGCTTACACTTTTGGTGTCAAATTTTCTCGGCCTTCTGGAAAAATGTTAGATAAATTCTCAAATTTTGGGCAGCTCGAAAAAAACAACTTTTTAGATTATTAATTTAATTAATAAACTCAATTTTAATGACTTTTTGTTACCCGAAAAAAACCAATTCTTTTTATTGTAACATACATGCAGGGTAAGTTTCAAAAAGTTCCCCGGAAGTGGAGGAATTTCTCTAAAAGTTCGTTCGTATTTATCTTTTTTCACCCATGCATATACAGGGTGAAATGTAAAATTCTACCGAGCTTCAAATGAGACATTAAGGATGGTCTATGGGTACAATAAATCGTATTCATTTTTATTTCATTTTAAAATTATTTAAAATAGAACTCGTATCTCATTAAAAAATGGTCTTACGAAAAAGAAAAAAAAATAAGGATAAAATAGATGTTTTATTATTTTGTAGGCTAATTAATTCTTAAATTCTTAATTTCTTTTAAATTTAAGTTTTGATTAGTCTACAAAGTACTTAATTAAACAACTATTTTATCCTTACATTTTATAAGTAAGTACTGACATAAGTACATGTCAAACTTGGAAAATTCTACAACCGAGAGGAAAACAGTACTCTTACATTCTGCAAAGTCCAAGTTTCCGTTCCAATCCGTTTTAACTCTTCCAGGTGTTAAATAAACTGTGTACAGTTATCTATAATTCCACCACTACTCTAAATGTATTCGGTACTTTAACGAGACATGAAAATGCTCTTTCGTAGTTGCAGACTCGGCTGAAAAATGCTTTTATATAATATTTTTGCCAATTATTTTTACTATGACTCATAAATTCTATTCCTTGATAATTTCCATATTATTATACATCTCCCCTGTATTTAAATAAAAGTACTACAAAACTATTTATCCACTCAACTAGTATTTTATCCTTTATTTGCACTTCATCTACTCGCTATATTGACCTAACGTTTTTCTTTTTCATTAAACTCACATCCTACCACATTATTCGTTGTTCTCTGGCATACTACTTCTCCCCTTACCATAACGATCTAGAGAGCATACTGTTTTTAAAAACTTATTATTTTAACATTTTTTTGCACTTATATTCTGCAATCGATTAAGTGTTTTTTTTAAATTATAGATGATGAGGCCTTGGGGTGTTCTCATCAAGCTGCTGTTTTATACTTTGCTGAATCTATAAATAACCAAAATATGAAGGCAAGCCGTTGTGACGAAATTAAGACGATTGTTAAGAATTTAGATGCTTTAAAGAACATTGACAAAAATAATAATAACGTGTTAAGTTCTACTTGTGACAAAAAAGGAAATTCGGAAGGAGATCAGATAGTATTTGGAGAAAATATTTCCCTTAAGTATACAGCAATTATTACCTGAATTTTAAGTATTTTACTTAATACTAATTATTATAATTTTTGTTTAGTGCTAAAGGGGTGTACTTTATAAGGATTCCGACTATACCTGAAATCGCTTAAATATTGTTATGAAGCAACTAAAATATTTATAAAATAATTGTTTGATTTAATAAATAATTGACTATAAAACTAAGAGCCGCATATTTAGCTGTACGGTACACCTACTCGTGCTTTCTTTATCTTAAAAATTGCAAATAACTTCTAAACCGTTGTTTATTATAACAATTGTGGGTATAACGAATTGAATTTTAGTATATCTAGTTAAGTATATAGAGTATAGACATTATAAACATGTCAATAAATGTATTTTGCGATAATTTATAAAGCAAATCCTTTAAATCCAAATTTTTCAAAATCTATTTTATACAAAGGATTTCTTACCAATATTTAGGTTAGTCCATAATATTTTGCCACCAACCAGAAATTTAATTATATTAGTACATAAACTAGCGTTAAAAACTAATACAAACCAAAAGGAAAAACAATCTTTGTTTATAACAACAGAATATTAAGAAACAACACTCAGCCCCTCTATTAGATAATTTAATAATAAATCATAGTAAAAAAGTAGATGACAAAAGTTTTTAGGTTAAGTCACTATCTTGTAATACATTAGGTAAATAATCCAAAGAATAATTAAATCATCTCTATTTAGTGTACTGTAAGATTTCAGTCTCACTTAAATATTTAAGAAAGCATAAGTTCAAATAACATTTCGGGTTAATTTGCTTTTTTGAGTAATTGGAGATAAGTCATAGGCAGATGCCTAATTTAAGCTGCAAAGTAAATACACCAAAAATAGTTCTGTGTAACTTATTTATTTTTATGACGCATTTGATTTATTAATAGAATCGAATATCGACATTTTGCTTTGATTAATGAATATACATTATACACCCAGTCTAACACATATTGTGATAGGATAAATTGTTTAGAGAGTGGTCACATTTAGCTGAAAATGTTTAGCTTTCTATCTATAGTATTTATATAATGACTGTTAATATTAAAATATCCAAAGAGATATGTCTAAAGAGCATAAATAATTATCCAACTACAAATTACCGTAAAATTCTATGTCCTTTGTGGATTTTTTTTTTGAGAGCTCAAGAGTTAAACTCTCTACCTAAAAAATTATATAAAGTGGACATATTACTCGTGTGCTCTAAGCTATTGATATAATGCTTTTGATTTTTTTTTTTTGTGTATTTCAGAAAATAAAACAAATCAAGTAATTATATTATTACCAAATATAATCTAACAACAAAAAATATCAAATTTCAAAATAGTGTATTCCAAATAGTCAAGTAACAATTATTGAAAGGCACACAAAAATGTGTTAATAACTGAATAATTACTCGGTCGTTAATGTGTTAATAACTCTGTAAGGACTACAACCTTATTACAATTTGACCATCTGCAAACAGGCCAACTTGCCCTTTACTCGTATCATATTTTATACATGAATGCTATACGGTGTAGCTAACCTGTTCAACAATGATAATTATAAAAACAATTATTTAAAATTTAATAGTGTAATAAATTTAATACGAATGTAGGTAAATATCAAAAAACCATTTATATCATTAGCGGGGAATAATGAATTATTTTTACAAACGAACATTAGATGTTAGCAATTCATTTTTACGCTTCATCTATACGCTGTAACTATTTTACGGTAGTTTTTCAAATAGTTACCTATTGAAAATATTGAAGTGAAATTAATTAAAGTATACTATTTCAGACATAAAGGATAACAATTGCTTTAGTGTATAATTATAAAATAGTTGTAATTTTGAGAAATATGTTTCTTTTCATTCTAAAATTACTAACACTGTTGCCGTTACTGAAAAATGTGGTGTTGGCAGTTGATATGACGGAAATAGTTTGTTCATTATTTCCACCATATTCAAAAAGTGTATCTTTTTTATTGTATACAAAGTAAGCTATACTATATTTTATACAATAATTATATGATGTGTATAGCTTAGTCAGACTACATTTTTTCTAGACATGTGTTTTGATTTTGATCTATGCATGTATCAACACAAGACTGTTGCCTTTGTGTGGTTAAGAATCGTTTATTTATGAAACAATATATGATAATTTTGTTGAAAATGACTTTTTTTAATAAGTAAAGGGCTGCGGGGAAAAAAGATCAATGTCAATTTTTTTTCATTCTGAGAAAATCATGTTTTTAATTTCAAAACGTAAAACATTTTGCCTGTATGCCTAAACTTCCGGCGGTCGTTACTCTCGACTAATCTGTTTTTTCCCTGGTTCGAGCGCATAAAAGATACAATACGTCAATATAAATAATTTGATACCAAAATCTAATTTTCAAAAAAAAATTGACATTGATCTTTTTTCCCCGCAGCCCTTCAAATATGTTCTGTGGCTATACACGCATTGTTTACTTTTGAATGAGAGTTTATTTTATTATGATGGTTCAAATATTTACAACAAAAGTTCCTATTAATGATTTTTTTTTTAAAAACATTTCTTTAAAAGTCACAATAAAATATATTGGTATACAAAGTTGTTTTGTATTACATCATTCTATTGCACACAATCTCGTTTATGATTTAGTAAGTATTATTGATTTATGAAAAGAGTTAAGTAACTTTTTTGTTAATGAAAAGGGTCAAATTCATTCAATTAAAACTCTTACTTGTTGGTAAAAAAGAAATATGACAAATTGGTGTTCACAAATTTAAATAAATATACTGCATACAAATTATATATATTTCTTATAATTGTTAAAGTAAAGTCGTATGTGAAAAATAGTTATTTATTTTTAATACATTTTTTTTCATAATTAATCGATTCATTATTAAGTGTTGTGTTAACAGTTTTTGATATATTATAAAATACCCGGCAAAATGAATGACATCAGGAAAATTGAGAAAAGCAAAAAATAGTTGATTATATCCAAACGGTTTGAAATCCTGATTGGACATTATTTTTGTAGCATGTCTACAGGTTTAATGATTTATGTTATAAATATTGATTTAATATTATAGACATTGTTTAATATCATTTAAATGTTCATGAACTTGAGGGTAATCGTGCAACAGACCTCAACGAACAATTTTGATGAACATTGTTATACCGCATTAAAAATGATTTTGTCATTCTTTAAGAAGTAATCAGCTTTTTTCTAGCTAACTTGTTTTTCGCAAACTTCAAGCGATCAGCCTATAATTTTTTGAAAGTCACCAACAATATATGTATATTAGGGTGGTCCTTGACGCCCCTTAAAGGGTTTTTAAATATAATAAAAATAATGTAAAAAAAAAAAATGTTAACATATTAATTTTAAGGATTGAAGTTTAAATGAGATTTAACATAAGAATTATATACTTGTGCACAAATCAATGCATAACTTTTCCCTACTCCTTATTTTAAGCTGAAGTTTTGATGATTTTATAGCTTGGAGTGTGCTGAACACGTAAACCATACCTAAAAGTTCGTACCAGTCAAAATTGTTGCCAGAAAATGAAAATTTAACGAAAAATATGCGCTTTTTGGAACTTTTTTTTTCATAACATATTTAATGTACTTAGGGGATGTTGCGCTTAAGCCAGAAACCTAATATTTGAGTTCAATGTATCATAATTTTTGGTAAAATAGTACAAAAGTTAGTAGAATCAACTAGGTCAATAACACGATGTTCAAAATAAAGTTAACATTGATGTAATAAGTTTAAATCATCACTATCGGCAGTATTACAGAGTCGGAAACATGAGTCGTTTTTGAATAAATTTAAAAATCAAACTACATATAGCTCCAAAAATATTATTTTTAAAACTTTTTTAACATTAAGAACCTATAAAAAATGTATGATAAAAATGTCAAACATCTTTGAATTATAGCCGCACACTCATTAGGTGATTTCACGTGGAACGACCCAGCTATAAAACCATCAAAACTTCAGCTCAAACTAAGGAGTAGGAAAAAAGTAATGCATTGATTTGTGCACGAGTGTCAAATTCCTATGTTAAATCTACTTTTTAAGGACCACCCTAATATGTATATTAAACATTTTAAAAAGCGAATAATAATTGAATGTGTGGTTACAAGTGAAATGAATAACAATTTCATACAATTTCAGAAGTGTTGAAAACTTTTCGATCACTGCAGATGAAGAATCAGTTAAGAATTGTCCGTTTATCCCAAATTCTAATACCGTCAAACTTATTGTTCATGGGTTCGGTGCAAGCAGTAAGGCTGTCAATATAGTTGCACTGCGAAAAGGTTTATTGTTATTTTCAACTAGTTATAATTTTACTCTACGTCTATTTTAATATATAGAGTGTAAATGCCACCAAATATAGTACACGTATTTACGAAAATGATGTGAAACTTATGTTATGGCATTGAGCGTTATATCTCTTTGTATATAAATTTCTTCTGTCCGTGTGTAAGTATGCAAAATCCTCCTAAACGGCTGGACAGATATCCATGAAATTTCGTGTGCGCGATTAAGTTGATTCGAGAAAGGTTTAGATTCACAATTTGATCCGATAGTACATGTTTTTAATTTTTAATTAATTAAAATGATTAATTATGATTATCAATAGTATCAATAGTTATCTATACACCACTATGGGTTTTCATAACACAGGGATACAGTGATCCGATCAGCTGATTGTGTGTCTATTCTAATACACGGGCAACGCCGGGTCGGGACAGCTTGTTATAATATAGTAAGTTAAAAATTTAACTCTCATGTGTTACTAAAAGGAGGCATTACTTTTACAACCGTGTCATAACAAGAACGCTAAAATAATATTTACTTTGTAAGCCCTTCATCTGTATGACATACATAAAAATGTATATTGTTGGAACAAAAGTCGAACATTTTCAGCCATTTCCGATATGTAAATCGAGAAAGATCCAAAAATTAAAATAATATTTATCAACATTAAAATGAGACATGGTATACATACCACCCAAAAAATAGCCAAAATAGTATAAAAATGTTTAGGGGTTTTTTATTAGGTAGTACTCACAAAACAAGTCAGAAAATAAGAATTACCGAAAACACATATTTTAAGTAACCTGAATATGTCTTATGGGTGCAAGCAGTATTTACTTTAATACATTGTATAAAGCTCCCATTTTGTTTTGTGTTTTTTCTTTATTTTAACTATTTTAGGTTATTAATGACTAGTTCGATACTTTTCAGCGTATATTAACGGACCGCAGAATCACAATGTCTTATTGGTAGACTACTCAAACTTCACTGGTAAAGTTTCGCAGTCAAACGTTATAACGCACAGCTTAAAGTATGTTCAAGCAGTGAAATGCGGTTTTCCAAAGGTGGTGAATGCTATTACCGAGATTATAGAGATGATACAAAACTTGCGACCTGAAATCACTAATGTTCACATGGTTGGACATAGTTTAGGGGGTCAGATAATCGGACAATCAGGAAGTCATCTTAAGGACAAGGGGAAACCAGTACATAGATTGTCCGGTTGGAATTTTACGATTCAATTAATTACATTTACTATTAATTTAGCATGTCAATAATATTTATGTTTCTTTGTTTTATGTTTAGCACTGGATCCGGCCGGTCCGTTATTCTCTACTTCCTGTATCACAGCAGAAAGTGGCTTTTTTGTGGATGTGTATCACACACAGATCGCAGGTTTTAAGGGTGCCACGAAACCAGCGGGAATCGTTGATATTTATGTTGACAATGCCGTTGTCCAAGACGGTTGCCTCAGTAAAAAGACACGTAAACAATCAAATAAGACATTTTGTGTGTTAGCGGGTGTTAAAACTAAGAAAATTATAAAACAACTTGTGGACACGTTATATTTTACATACTTAATAGTATCTTACTGGTCAAACACCTAACTATAGAATATTGAACGTTGCATCGAATAGCCTAATCGAATGCCTATTAAGAATGCTAAAAAATAAAAACTATTAAAATTACAAGATTAAAAACTAAAAAGTAGTTAAGGGGGGGGGGGTAGGGTATTAAACATTTTTTTTTTTTTTGTAACTGAATGCATAATACCTCAAGAATATTGTGTCAAAATTTCAAGTCGATTGGAACAAAATTGACGACGTTATGAGTTGTCGGAATTTTATAGCTGCCCGGCCCGAGCGCACTATCGTTAACTTTAAAGCGTTTTTCCAACAACTCAAGTTTTCAAAGTCGGTGACCACCATAACTTCAAAACTACTACACCGATCCTTTTGAAATTTTGAACACTATTTCAGTACATAACTAACGAGGTAACGCTGGAGAGTTTTTTTTCAAATTTGTTAATATTTTTTATTTTAAAATAACAAATTAGCCGATTTTTTTCGCAAAAATCGCGTTTTTCCCTTCGAAGTGTTCCCAAAAAGTGAAAAATTGAAATTTCAAAAAACCCTCCTAGTGTTACCTAGGAAAAGCAATTATCTAACGAAAAAACTTGATTTTTTTAATTTCGGATGATCCAGCATCGAGTTATGAGGGGCACCGCAATTCTACTTTTTTCCGAGACGCTTCCGAATAATTGCCGCCATTGCCGTATTTTTTAATATTTCTTCATGAAAATATTACACAATATTCTTCGAATGTTATACTTTAATGTACCATCAGTTTTAATAAACAGATTTTAACTGTGTCGTCAAAAAAAATTCACAAAAATTCACCGTTTTTTGCACGAATTAACCATACCCCCCCCCTCTTAACATACAAAATTACACATAGTAGTTTATATTTCTATATCACACAGTAATTCTTAAGTAAAATATAACGCCGTGTGCTACTTAAATCCGGTAAATACGATCGTCGTATTTTAATCATGTTTTTCCAAATGCATCCTCTGATGATTCTTAGTCAAATCAAACTTCCTCTTCCCCTCATTCCTCCTACATTACATTTATTTTCATTATTATTCTCACTGATTCCGATTCCTCTCTTGCCATAGCTTAAATTACTTTCTTATTCGCTATAACTTTTTAAACTTATTCATCCCATTGCCACCTTTCGATGTTCTCTAGAATACTATACTACTCTCACCACAACGATCTAGAGAGCAAACTGTTTTTAAAAATTAATTATTTTAAAAAGGTTTAGCACCTATGTTCTGCCGTCGATTAAGTTTTTATTTTTTATTACAGATGAAAAGGTCTTAGAGTGTTCTCATAGAGCTGCTCTTTTGTACTTTGCTGAATCTATAAATAACCAAAATATGAAGGCAAGCCGGTGTGATGAAATTAAGACGATTGTTAAGAATTTAGATGCTTTAAAGAACATTGACAAAAATAATAATAACGTGTTAAGTTCTACTTGTGACAAGAAATCAAACTCGGAAGGAGATCAGATAGTATTCGGAGAAAATATTTCCTTCAAGTATACAGCAATTATTATCTGAATTTTAAGTATTTTACTTAATGCTAATTATTATAAATTTTGTTTAGTGCTACAGGAGTGTACTTTATAAGAATTCCGACTGTACCTAAAATCGACTAAACAATTTTGTGAAGCAATTACAATAATTTTAAAACAATTGTTTGATTTAATAAATTAAGAAAGAAGGAAAAACAATCTTTGTTTGACCCTTTCAGACCTTTTAAGAGTTTAACCACTGTACACTATAGTATGCATGGTGTATATTTAAATTTTATACGCTATTAATATTAGTTTAAATGTTAATTGTGTTACTAACATTTGTAAAAACATCTGTTAAGAATGAAAATAATATGAATTGATCACTATCTTTAGTTTTAAATTATTATTTTCAACTTTTTGTGACATGGTTATTGACTGATAAGAAAATTGAGTTTTGCTGATATTTATATTTTTGTATAAAATCGCCACTATAGATGTTAGCATCTAGACATAAATATGTTAGGTTAGGTTATATTATGTTATATCATTAATACATTTTAATTAAAAATATTTTTTTATTATTATACATCCATTGAGACCCAATGTCCATACGCAAATCTCAGCCAAAAGTGCATGAAAAAAAATCAGGTATTTTAATAACTGTATAAGGAATTAATAAAAGTAGGTACATTTTTATGAATGCGTTAAATGACACGATCATGGTCACGGCATTTGAGCAGTCGAGATCACTATTGCCCTGAAGATGGACTCTGCAAAGAGTCCGAAACGTCGGCACAAAACATTCGACGTGGATATATCCGAAACTCACTCAATTGAGGTACATTTTTTTGTTTTACCTTTTAATGAAAGTTCAGGTTAAAAGTGTTAAAACGACGGAGAACTAAGAAACAACACTCAGCCCCTGAATAATCATTTAACCTCTAATAGGTAATTAAATAGAGATCGATAATAAAATAAAAACATCATGGAAGTACATTAAGTATTATGTCTCATGAATATTTCATTCAAATTTGCATTTAATTAAATTATTTTTTATTTAAGCGTCGAGATTTTAAATTTAAAATATTTTTTCAGTGTTTTTCACGATGTTGAAGGGGAAGATTTTTAAATTTTTGGCCAGTAAATTATCTCTTGTGTACGATCTATAAAGTTATTATATGAAGAAATCGGTTCAGCAGTTCAGAAGATATCGTGGGTCCAGACACAAAAAAAGGAAAAAAAATCTTCTCAGCAAAGTACTGAACCTTAAAACAATATAAGCAGACGGACTGTCATTAGAGAGTAATGCCTACAGTCTACGACTGACAACCCAACATGCTGGTTAGTAATAAATAATTTTTTTTTGTTTTAAAACATGTATAATCTGTACCGCTAAAGAGTACAAATAGAAAACAGATATGACAAGTATATTTGTTTGTGACACAAACAAACACTTATATCAAATGTCATACATTTTTGATGACGCTCTGAAGAAATTTGTTTTTATAAAATATAATATATTTAAAGACAGATGATATCGGCAACTGATCGACAAAATCAAACATCAGGACACGTTTTATCAAAATTTAGCCCTGTCAAACCGTCACCGACCTATCCCACAATAAGCTTAAACAAATTAAAGCTTAACTGTATACCATGTTCACACAAATGGATATTAAAAAAAAAATCCGTAGACTAAATGTAAATTTATAAGTTGTCATTTATATGATATTGTTTATCAATGGAATAAACATTTCGATGCGTCAAATTTGGAAAAAAAAACCGATTGGCAAATATTTTTCAACGCTTTTTGACGTACAGAAAATATGTTGGTTGCCTATAAATACTGAATCTGGTGCGTTTGTACAATCATTACTTGTTGGTAGTGTATTAACCTAACTGAACCGTCAGGTAAATTATATTATAAAGATTAATTTATTAATTTATATTACTTTTATACAATTTTGAGTGTATGCAAGTACATGCCGAATGCGGTAGTATAATTAAATAATTTTTTTTATTTAGGATGAAAATAGTAATCTGTCTTAGCGCTTTGATAGGCGTGGCACTAGCGTGTCCAACGACAATAACGACGAAAACAATATGCGAATGCAGCACTTTGCCAACGTTTATTTCAAATCAACTCCAAATCGTTCAATTGGACAGCGGTTTAGTGAGTGTTAAAAAAAAAACATTTTTTCTTGTAAAATCTTTGTAGTATCAAATTCTTGTTTCTAAGTTTGTATTTTGCACATGGCTTTAATGTCTGGGAGAAGGCTTGAAGGTTTAATTCGAATGCCTGCTTGGCCTAAGGGGGTTGGTCACCCGTAAATTTCTCCCAATTTTTTTGCTGAGGGGATGGCGGCTTCTTTCCCTAGACAGTTGCCTGCACAGGGAGAGATGCCGCTCGTGGCCGGGTTAGGACCGGTGACGTCTTAGTCCATTCGGCCACTCCGTCCCACTCTAAGTGAAATGTTATTTAAAGGAAGTTATAGATGTACGAAATCATATTATTTATGTATATCGTGCAGTTATTGAATAGAAATTTAAGTAGGTATTGCAGTAAAATTATGTTTTAATATTTTGACGACCAACTAAGTAGGTAATTAGTTAATTTGGAAGAAAATAAATTTTAACTTTATAACGAATTAGTGTATACTTTTAGAAAACAATACCACGTTTGACCATAATTTTTATATTTAGGCCGGCCAACTATTTAATGGTGTATATTACTTGGGCGCAGCAGTACCGACGCATTTCAATAATCATGCTTTAAAAGTCAGTTTGCTCGGTACGAAAATATGTTTAATCACGTGATCACGAGAGTTATTATTATGTGCTAATTTAACGTGCATTTAAATACAGGTAACACATTCCCGGCTGGAGGTTCTTTGTTTAGTTTCTACGACAATACACCCACTAAAGAAGGCGACATAGAGTATTTACTCGCTTCTTACTCGTACAATTGTATGTGAGTATAAACTAAATTAATAATCGTATATAAACAATATTAACAACCCATCGCGACATAATTTGTAATAACTAGAAAATGGTGTTGTTGACACTTGTATTTTTTTCAATTCAAGTCACCATAAATTATTATCAATTTAACATTGCTTTTTTTAAAAATAGGACTGGCGATGTCGATAGGACATTATCATTGTTGAACAGCGCCTTAGGACCGAATAGTAATGTTGGTGTCCTTAACTTATATTTAGAAGCCGTTTGTGAGTAACAATAGTTTAACAAACATTAATGTTTTTTTCCCACATACACATCAAAATAAATTGTCCATAACGGAGTGCGTTACGTTTTTATATTGTTTTAGATGAAAGTACACTTTTAGACGAAACGATTATTGGATGCAAAAGCTTTATAGAACGCACTGTTGAACAACAATGTAAGTAGTGTTTAAATTTATATTAAACGCTATACTATACTAAATAGTGTTTGAATCTAATTATATTAAATACATCTCTTTAGACAGCCAACGTGTTATCATTGCCCTTATTGGCTACCAAGTGGACGATTACATTTTATTCGCTGTTATCGATAAATGGACCAATAGCATATTCGGAAGTAAATTGCATTATATAATCTAATAATGATGTTTTATTAAATTAAATTAAAATACGTTTTTTGTTATTGTTATTAAAGGTCAAGACATAGACGTCTTTGCTCTTACAAGAAGCCCATCCCCAAGCAAGCAAACAGTTGAAAACATCATAAATGACCTCGAAAAAAGCGGAATAAAACCCCATCGTTTGTGGTTCATGGATCAGTCTATAAATCTTACCGATTTACCCGGTTATATAACTCCAAGTTCTTTATCACGTTCAAGTTTAAGCTCTAGTGCATTGTCTGGTTTTGACGATGTTGAAGGACAATCACTTACTTCAACTTCAACATCGAAAGTGTCTACTTCCAGCATCGACAGCTCTTCGTTAACAAGCACTATAAGATCTACAACATCTGTTAGCATCACCACAGATTTTGTAATAAACCCAGAATACAAGCCATTTTCACCTTTCGTCTCAAACCCATTATTAAATGGTTATAAATGCTTAAATGATTTTGACGAATCTATAGTACGTGTACACAGATAATTTTATTTTAAATGTCTTTACATTAAAAATTATTATTTCTATGTAGTTGGACGCTGCATTATCTGGGAAATACTACGTGTTTGCCACCACCCCGACTACCAGTGGCGATTGCCAAGACACCGGATTTTTCAGTGAGTTACTAGATGCTTGAAACATGTTTGGTCAAATGACAGTGTTCGTCAATTTATAAAAAAAATGCGTTATTCTTACAGGCACTAGCTACCCAACTACTAATTTGCAAATACTCTTCGATAATAGCACACCATTAGGCCCTAATGGCGTACGCATGATGTACGATCGGTCAATAAACGTAAGGTAGGTACTTTTAAAAACTAAACATAGATAATATGATATCATAATACAATTGATGTACCCGAGCGAGACACGTGCATTCACTAAAACGATTTTGGTATAAAACTACTTTACCGGGCACCCTTTTTTTCTCGATTCTTTTTTTTTTTTTTAATCGACAGTACTTTACATGCTGTTTACGAATCTGCAAAAATTTTGCCCCGCTCGCACTTAGTTTCGAAGTTACAGACGTTTGAAGATCGCCGCAATCGAAATACGCGAGCGCCCGCTGTGCAGACATGCGGACGTGCACTACACGTCATAAGACTCGTTTACACGATGATAGAAACGTGATAGTCATAGTAGCTATTGCGATAGTGATAGTAAAAGCAGCTATGAATCATGATAATCCCTATCGCACTATTGTCAAAAGTCAAACGTCTGTAACTTCGAAACTAAGTGAGAGCGGGGCAACATTTTTGCAGGTTTGTAAACAGCATAAAAAGTACGGTCGATTGAAAAAAAAAAAAAATTGAAAAAAAGGGTGCCCGGTAAAGTATAGTTTTGTTCCACGATTTTTTTCGGTTATAACTATTTTGATATAAATTAACGTTTTGCACAAACATCATAACAATTACAGTTATTTGACGGACATTGTTTTAGAACCGAAGCAGTAACATGCCACAAGAGTCTTTTATACTTACCATTAGGACTTGAAAATAGTGGCATAATAGGTCTCTGGACCGAAGCATATAGTAAGTGAACATTACTGTTGTGAACATTAGTTCATGCTTTCACTCTGAATTTCGTTAAAAATTTTACAGAAACCAGCAGCAGCAGCTCTTATAAATCTTTATTCGACTTCGACGAAAGTTCATTCGTTTTCCATCCTGATTATTCGCAATACTGTAAGTTTGTCAATACTCATCGGTTATGTTTTTCTGTTTACATGTCATCTAATACATAAATAATAATATTTTAAAATATTGCATCGATTGAATTTTTACAAAGCGGTACAACAATTATTATTTGGCCTTGAATTTTAGATGAAGTTCAACACCTTCTAGCCATTATAGGTTATGGAGATGATTATTTGATTTTGTTGGGTATTGACGTTGCTGACAACTTGTTCTTCAGTATGTATAAAAACTAGAGAGTCGCTACAGTAATTTCTAGGTACTAATAGCAAAAATAAACATTTTTATTTATCCTACAGCCGGTAAAAATGTAAACAACGTATTCGTCCTCACCAGAGATTCAGCACCAACTGTAAATGTCGTCGGCAACATCATTCAAGATCTTCTCCAAAATAATATTGACTTATACGAGTTAATGCGAATGTGCCAAACACAAGATATTTTAGAGGATTATAGCTTCGATGCCTCAGATTTTTATGTGGACATAGAAATCAAATCATCAAGCACCACAACCATAAAGTCTTCGGTGTCTTACAGTTCAACATCAGACAGTTGTTAATTCTTTTGCTAATTTTATTGAATCTTCACCCATTGGTTGCTAATAATATTTCAATTTAATAAAACAGTTTTTAAGCATAAAAATCCGAAATATTGTCGTAGTTTTTTCCTGTACAAACTGTAATTCTTTTAGGGGGTAGATTACCATTAACCACAGCAAAGATTGTGTAATTAAAAATACAATGATAATTTGTATAGTAAGAAAACTAATTCAAATACTGACTGATCCAAAAACTACATTTCTGCAGCATATTTTTTTAGAAGTTACTTCCTATGTTAAAACATGTATACTAGAATAATACGAATTAAAAGTCCTAATTTTTTGAAACAATACTTTGCGAATTAACAGAATAAATGTATATATTTATCATACATATGTATGCTTTAATAGCCATGATGTAATATATGAGGCGCCTAAAAACAAAACCAGCTATACAATTTTTGAAAATTTTCACAAAACAACAAATAATTTCTTTAGATAGAACCAACCAAGATTTTCAAACAAACACAGTTTGAATTAGTTATATTCTTTATATGATATTCAATAACAGTTTTACATAACATGTAATACATTGTGGTCACTTAAAAAACAAACACGTTGTCAAAATGTCTTAGGGCTGGTTTTGAAACTAGATGCCTCATATGCAGTAAATATTTCTGCAAGATATTTTAGAAACTTTTCCACAAAGTTACTATTGAAATTGTAAACACTCTGTGAAGTCAATATAACTTCATACTGTAGCTTAGTAGGAAAAAAGTCTTCATTATCGGGTTTTTTTTTTCATTATTTTTTTCAATCGATAGTACTTTTAATGCTGATTATGAATCAGGATATATATTAACGAAATTCTTCAGTACAATAAATCTATCTTTAAGGTGCGTACCATAAGGCTGTCAAACTTATCAGTTAGATCGAACTAATAAGTTGAAAAAAATTAATAATTTACTTATACTGTTTTGAATTCCATTTGCAATTAAAAATTAAGCCTGAGTCAAGTTTTACCGGGTACTACTCTAGTTTCCGATGAATGGAAACTATATGCTTGCCCATCAGATTTAGGATACAATTACAATATAAATGTGACATGCGAATTTTATACATAATATATTTTACATTTTAAAATGCAAATAATAATTTAAACGAGATATAGTAGGTACTTCTAACGCTATCTAGCGGATAAATAGTATAGAAATAGCATTTCTCTTAAACACGGGTAGAGTGTACAAGAGTATTATTGACCTCCGGTGTATTTTATTGATTTGAAAATCCTCCTCTAATAATTTCTATAAAGCTCACGTGTTATCAATATATTAATTAATTTACATTTTCTCTCAAAAATGTTCAGTTATAAATAATAATACACGGTTAATAATATTAGTGATGGAAATTCGAAAATCAAGATTTTCAAAAAAAATAAACGTTATTTAAGCCATTCAAAAATTATATAAATATTAAATAGTATTACAATATAAAGCTGTGTACCTAACTCCTAAGTAAAATGTTTTCATAACAATTAAAAAAACCTCGTTCAATTTTGGTTATAAATTGCTTTCGGATTTCAACAAATCAGAAATTTTTCGAATTCCGAACACTAAAGACATAACACGTGTGTTGATTTGTGTATAGTTGTATATTTTTCAGAAATTCATTCTATTGTTTGTGAAGACATCAGATGTATTATTCATATGATACTATTTTATTATATGGGTTATGTGCTACCGTACTATACTTTTGATGGTCACTTATGATAATTACAAATTACAATAATTAATAATATATTTTTTCTTTGCACCATATGATAATTTACCATTGTAAAAGACTTAACGAGACAGTCGATTATAGTGTATGGTGGGTTCCCCCTTCCCCTCCGGAATCCTCTGGGAATTTCCAAAATCAATTACGACGGACGGCAATTGTTCTGCAATGAAAACATAATACATGTAAAAAATATGATGGAATGAAAATAATGACTCTTTGCGAAAAAGACCCTCGTGTGGTGAATGAAAGGGGACACGATCAGAAAATTCCAATGTCAAACCGAAGGTCCTTGGAGACCGGCTGTCTTTGTGGTAATTTGTGAATATTATATTCGGACGATACGATGAATACGATACACCCCCATGTTTAGCGGCTGTAATATTTTTACAGAAATACCGGCCAAAAAAAAAAAGATACTGAGAGGTAATAAACATCCCTGAAAGGTATATTAAATGAACAATTCATGAAAGTGAGCATCCGAGCTCTAGGTAGCATATTGTTATACTCTATCACAAATGTAAAAATATGCGCTTATCGGGTTAGGCAAGAAGGTTTTGACCGTATGCATTATCTTTGTTAGATGCGAGTAAGTATATCTGTACAACGATATTAGTAAGCACTTTACTTACGTCCCCGCAGACTTCTGCGCGTCATAAATTCTTTTCTTTTAATATCAAGAAGAAAACATCCCCGACAACAAGTCTCCATTTTATAAATATTTTATCTTCTAAGAATAATTTGTTTCTTTAACGTTGTACATTTTACAAACTATTACTGTACAGTCATTTACACAATCTATAAAATAATAAAAATTCTAAATTTAGATTACAGTTTCGTGCATTTTTGTTACATAGGTGGTTCATATTAAAAGTGATGTTACTTTAAAAACTCAGTTTTAACCAGGGGGTGGCTACAGTAGTTTTAATTGGACGCAAACTCTAGGAGTAAAGTCAGTACTCAGTCTGCCTAGTTAGAAGAATAAAAATACCGTTCAATATATCGTGGTGATAAGATATCAATGGTAATAGTATCTTTAAAAAAACAAAAATATTTTAAGATAAGGGGTAAAAACTTTTTTTATTATATAGAGTACCAATCGCTTAACAGTATGGACTTTTTTTTTTTTTTTGTTTGGCCATACTGTTTTTAGTCTTACTATTTACATCACTATCGCATACAAGATAGTATATGTTAGTTCATCTCTTTATATTATTACCTTATGGTCTTAACCATCGAGATTTATTTATTATACCTCGTTTACACGTGATATAATATTACATTAGATAAAATCTCAATAATTTACACTGACGAAAAAATTAATGAATGTGTAACTATGTAAAAATATAAAAATTTACTTATATACAACGAAGGGTTAAGTATGGGTGTGAAGCAAAAAGTTGAAATATTTTATTGGTTTTTTTTAAATTCTTTTAATAATTCATGTTTCAATTTTTGGTTGTCTAAAAAAATATCTCCATATAATATCTAATTGTATGAACACAAACGTACATATGTATATATATTTTTGATTTTAATAAGGCTGAGTACAATATACCAGTTAAAAAGCTGGTATATATTATAATATTGATATTATAATATATAATAATATAAATATATGTAATTTGTAAAAACTATTGCCTAATAATAAGTTCATTTTTTTTCTTTAAATAATCCTAACATAGTTAAAAAAAACACTAGATAAATGGTTTAAACTTCTCTTCGATGTCCAAATGAATATTTACATTTTCCAATCTTAAATGTGTGCCTAGATTTAGACTGTATATTTGAACTACCATCCGATAATGATTAAACTATACATATTATCTGATATTTTTAATAACAAATGGAAATAATAAGTGTAACAAGTTATTATTGTTTACTTATAGGACTCACTTCTAGGAGAGCAGCAGCTTTTACAATATTGAGGCGCAGGCAACCTAAAACGGTAGTAACAGCCAAACTCCAACTAACAGTCAGTAGATATGGCAGCCATATAACTGGTGACTGTACTGTAAAGCGGAAGGCAAAGGGAAACCACCGCACTCGATGGATGAAACAAAGCTAACTTCTAAAATACTTTATACAAAAAACAGTCTAGTGAACATATTTCATTTTCAAAATTAAATATGAAAACATAGTAAACAAAAAATTTAAAGCGTTTCAACCAATCAAAAATGTACGTTTTTACGTTGTATGTTACGTAAAAGTAATATCTAATTTGAAAGGGGATAAAAATATAAGAGTTTGTGAAAAATCGAGATCACATTGTTTAAAAGCACTACAGAAAAACTAATTCAATAGCTGATTAAACCATATAATGTATTAGACCCTATACATAAGTGGATTTGAACCTTAAAAAATCACTTTGTATATAAATTACATGGTAACAGAAGATTTAAAAATGCGTACAATTTATATTTTACTGGTGTTCGTAAGACGTTCGTTGATGAATTTTGTATTCTCATTATTTATATGGCATAATATATAGTTTGATAAATGTTTATTGTGTTTATTCTACGTAGTCCTACCTGCCTATTTACCTAAATTATTAAGATGAATGACACGAATATAGACATCCTATTTGAAATCCCACGGGAGAATTTTCGACAGCGGCCGCTTTATTTATTTATTTTTTTTTAGACTACCTACTATAATTGTGAGTATAAAAAGTGTACCTGTGTAATGTTCCCAAGAGGTTCAAAAATAATCAAATCGTTGGCGATGCGACGGCTAAAGTTGCGTAGTGCCTATTCTTATTACAGAGGTAAAAAAGGTAATAATATTTATATTATCGGTAACAGTAATAATGCTAATGTTATTGCATTAGTATGCTTAGCAATGGACATTTATATATTTTGACAAAATATATATTGTTTTTTAAATGTTATATTACCTATATAATAATACAACTTCTGAAAGCATTCGGGTTTTTTGAGTCTCTTGCACTCCTCTTCAGTAAAAACAAAAACAGTCACTGTTTATTCCCACCAACACGGCTAACCATGGAAAAACCCATTTTGCCGTTAATGTGTATCCCCGACATCGCTTGTTTTCGAATTCCAGCCCCTGTCCATAAGTAGATGCAATAAAAAGGCATTCTTTTTTTATCATAGTATTATCCCTTTTATACTTTTACCCTCCTCGGCCATTTCTTCAACAGCGGTTGCATATCATTTAAGCACCGAAGTGACGTCGCATCGAATAGGGGCTTGGGTGCAAAACTCTGGAGAGATTCTCTTCAAGTGATTCATATGCAAATTGCGTGTACATAGCATCGTTATTGCGACTATAAGTCACCGATTTACAAAATATTAAGTATTAGGTATTTGCGG